GGAAAGCAGGCAGCTCACAGGGATTTTATTAATAGCGTCAAGGACGAGAGTCTTTGCTCCAGGCTGGATGGGAAGGGCTTATCCAAACGCCAGCCCCCAGACCTGTGGATGGCTCCTGCAGCAGGTCCTTTAAGAGGAGGGGGGGAGCAGGCTGGGGAAAGGGGGTCTGCCCACTGGGGCTGAGCCTGGCACCAATTAAGGGCACGGGAGGAGCATGAGGTGGGAGGGGAGTCTCAGCTCTCCACAGAGTCCTGCTGCCCTCTAGTGGGGAGCGTGGGGCACCGGCAGCCCCGGGTTGGCAAGAAAGGCATTGGCAGAGGAAGAGAGGAAGCACATACACAGAGCAGGCCCGAAGGAGCCTCCAGGCCCTCTAGTCTGACCCCCTGGCTCCAGCTGGCTCCGCTCATGTACTCCCCAGCATGTGCTTGTCCAATCTTCCTTTGAACGCCTCCACCACCTCCCTTGGAAGCACATTCCATATCCCAGGGTCCTAACCATTAGGAAGTACTTCCTGACATCAGCCTGAAGCCCAGTTCCTTGAGCTTCGCCCCAATGGAACGCATCCCGCCCTCCACTGCAGGGAAGAAGAGGTCATGACCCTCTTCCACATGACGTCCCCTCACATACCTGTATGTAGCTATAAGATTCCCTGAGAGTCTCCTCTTGTCCAGGCTGAAAAGACCCTCAATCTCTCTTCATATGTCATCCCTCCCAACCTGGCTACCATTCTTGTGACCCTGCCCTGGGCTGATTCCAACCTCGCTATGTTTCTCCTGTAATGTGGAGCCCAGAACTGGATACAGGAATCCAGTTGTGGGCACATCAGAGTGGTGCAGAGCGGTATCAACAGCTCCCTAGATCTGGAAGCCACATGTCTGGCTATTCATCCAAGGGTGGCATTTGCCCTCTTAACCACCACATCACACTTGTTCAGTCTGCTGTTGTAAAGTACCTCACAATTCCTTTCTTAAGTGCTGCTCTCGAGCCACTTCTCCCCCATCTTCTACCTGTGACACATATTCCTGTGCCCCAGGTGCAAGACCTTGCACTTATCCATACTGAATGCCATCCTGTTGTCCCCCGCCCACTTTCACAGCCTGTCCAGATCTATCTGGATCACCTGCTCCTCAGTTGTGGTCACCACCCCCACTTTGGTATCATCTATGAATCTACTCAGCAGACTGGTTATCCCCTCATCCAGGTCACTGATTAAAAGGTTGAACAGAATTGGTCCCAGGACTGAGCCCTGGGGGACTCTGCTCATCACCAGCTGTGATCCAGCTGCCCTCTTTTGAGCAGGTAGGCACAGGACTGCAGGACAGGGGAGGCCTTGCAGGCTCGGCATGCGTGGGAGAGGTGCAAGGGGGGGTGGGGGTGGGATGAGCTGCTGGCTGGCCAGGAGGTGTATTGGAGGCCCTGTGCCACCACTGGTGTCATCCCGTGTCTGTGTCCCTTAGCTGCAGCCCGGGGACTCTTTTCCCCGGGGTCAGTTTTAATTATTGGATTGTGTGTTTTGTCTGGGAGAACTAGGCAAGTAAAGTCAGGGAAGGGCCATGCAGGACAGACAAGGCAGGGGAAGAAGGCAGGGCCTGCGAGGGGTTCCCTCTGTCAGGCCAGGAGGTGGTCCTAGTGGGAATCTGCTGCAACACCTGTGACATGTTTGCCCTCCTCCCTTAGGAACAGCATGGATACACTTGCCTGAAGTGCAGGCTGGTGTCCCTCCTAGAGGAGAAGGTGAGGGGTCTAGAGGAAGCCCTTTCCTCTGTCCGGGTAAGAAAAGAAGGTGAGCGATTCCTGGACGTGGCCAAGAGAGCTCTCAGGACCCCCCAGGAGCAGCCCCACCTCCAGGCAGAAGACTGAGGGAGGGACCAAGTGGGAAACAGCAAGGGAGACATGGAGGCATGTCACCCACAGGAGGAGGAGGCCAGCAAGGCCTCCTCTATCTTCTAGTGCCAACCTGGAGCTGGGACACCAGTTTTCTCTGCTTGGGGAAGCTGGGGCTGGTGAGGCAAAGGCCAAGGCATGGTCATACTTCACCATTAGGAAGAGACAGTGCTGAGCGTTCATCATCGGGGACTCTGTGCTATGGGGCACTGAGACGGCGGTGTGCCACTCTGACCCTGAGGCGAGGGAGGTCTGACAGGGGCACACACCTGGCATGTGGCAGACAGAGTAGTTCTGGGAAAGAAACTCAGGGTCCTCAAGGCCCAAGTGGCCTTTTCCTCCATTTTGCCAGTCTGGGGATTTGGGCCAGCCAGGGAAAGGAGGGTCTCCGAGGTGAACAACTGGCTCAGACGTGATGCCAGAAGGAAAGCTTCGGGTTCCTCAGCCATGGCACCCGGTTTCTTACCAATATATTCTGGCAAGGGACGAGGTGTACCTCATGAGGATGGGGGAAAGGTCCTTTGGAAATGCTCTAGCAAGCTTCGTCTGGAAGGCTTTAAACTCCACCGGGGGCGGGAGGGTCCAGTCTCCCATAAACTTGGCCTGATGGGACAAGTGAGGGGAGAGGGTCGGGGTTTGGGGTCCAGGGTGTTAGAGGCACAGCAGGGGCTGGTGGGACTCCTACAAAGAAGGTGCCGGTATCAGGGAAGAAGGGAGGGAAGAGGGTTGGGGGACCCAAAGAAAAGGATCTGTGGGGAAGAGCTGAGATGCATATACACCGATGCTAGGATCATGGGTAATCCTATGGGGTATGTTATTGCCCTCCAGGTCAACATGAGACCTTGGACAATGCCCTGACAGTACAGATTTGAAGGATATCTCAGGGGAAGGATGCAATAATTATGGGAGATTTCACTTTCCCTGGTATTTGTTGGGAGACTCACTGGGCAATGGGCAAGCCACGTCGCTTCCATGACACTATAGAGGGAGGGTTTTCTACACAGTGGGTCCAGGAGGTGATTGGGTGGGTGGGGTGTAATATCCTTGACTTGGTCTTGACCAACAGAGAGGACCTGGTTGATGGACTGCAGATTAGGGAGGTGGTTGAAGCCCCATCAGTGAGGGTGTTTAAGGATTGGCTGGACATGCACATGGTAGGCATGTCATGAACAGAGTCAGGTGGCACTGGGGGTCAGACTAGATGGCCTGGGAGGCCTTCTGACTCACTCTTTTTCTAGTTTTCTAACCAGCTTTGGGGAGAACACAGAGGCAAAAACCCCCATTTAACATCTGTGCCTGTTCCCTTACATCAGTTACCAGGTCTCCTCCTTCCCTTTAAAGTGATCCCACTGTCTCCCCTTCCTCTTCCTATGTACATGAAGATAGAAAATAAGGAGGAGATAAGGGTGCATGAAATGAAGCTGCAGTGGGACCGATCTCACTGATCTCAATTCTGCCACCTTTTCCCAGGAGTCTGCATTACTTAACTGCGTAACTAAAAGATGCAGTTATAGCAGCTTACTTGGATAGTTTTAAATGTTAGCCTAAGATGCTATGTAGTATGTCTAAATGTTGTTTTGTTTCATCTGCCCTGAATTTCCCGAAATTCAGCCTCACTGGATGATCCCACTAGCTGCCAGCACAATCTACTCCCTCTGCAGTTCTTGGGATCTGCTCCTCTTACACTGGTTCTCCCTAATACGGAACCAAGAGGGTGAGACGGGATTCACACGTGCCTCTGAGCACTACATTCTGAGCTGATAGAAGGCAGCAGTGTGAGATGTTCAGGCCTTCCTCATGGACCAGCAGACTGCATCGTCAATAGGTTATCTTCCTTCTTTTTTTCAGTAAAATGCTGTTTGAAACCTATCCATTCATCAACTTCAAGACCTTGGCTACAGAGCTCATACTCCCCATTATTCAGCAAAAACCCTCGTCCTGCGTCTAATGAATGCCACACCATTTCTTTAACACAGATGTCAAACCAACTAATTGCTGGAGGTGTAACGAAGTTAATGCTTCTTTTAACCACATGCTTTGGCAACATGCATGAGTTGTCTCTTTCTGGGAGGAGTTATCATATAGATAAACCTTATATTGGAACATTTTTAATATTCACTGATGTACATGTCCTTTAAAGTTGTCTACCTGCTTCCAGGAAGTTAGTGCACATACCACATAAATGGATTCTCTGCACCCTTTTGACAGCTGAGAGACTGATATCGCAATTTTGAGAGGATCGCTGCTCACCTCCTACAATGCAGTGGATCAAATATCATATAGCACTTTCAACAATTGTATAGGTAGTGTGTAGGCATTACCTGCAAACAAATACTAATTGACTATTCAGTCTACTTTTGTTGAAGTTTTTGTATAATGCTGATAAAGCCATATTTTCTTATGCACATTTTATGTGCATGCACTGAAACTGATCTATTCAAAATTATGTAGTTACATTTTCCCTTTTCCTTTGTTTTCTTGCACTTTCATAACAAAGTAATTATTTAAAAACAATTATGATCCTAGCCTCAACCTCCTCCCAGCAAGGCAAGGCTCTCCATGGCCTTCTTGCTTCCCAGCCCAGAACAGCCTGCCAAGAATGAGAGCGCCAGCCACCGCCGTTGCCTCTTCCACAGAACTGTCTGAAAACAACTTTCTGCTCTCAGCTATAGGCAGAGCAACTGATCAAGGTTTGCTGGACTGCAGCCTTCTTATGCTGGTCTTGCAGCGATACCATCCCTTTCCAAATGAGCTGGGCAGTGCACAACAGTCAGACAGCAACACCACTACATGGTTCAAGGTGGTGCAGGGCTGAGAAGCCACCTCACTCTTGCTCACAAAAGCCACACCAGGCAGCCCAGGAGAGAGAGAGGGTGGCCTGGACTCAAACTTCGCCCCTTTCCTGAGCCACTGCTGTTCTAACAGGGTGCAGTGGCTTTCCAGGGCCTCAGGCCTGGTCAGGCCCGGCCCAGCAGAGGAGTCTTCTGTAACTGGAGGAGCTACCAAGGATGGAGCTCTTAACAAGTGGCTTGCCAAGCAAGTGGGTCCCTCCATCATTTGCTAGGAATCCCTTCAGATCCTGTCTCTGACACATTTCTTCCAGCACAGGTGCTCACCTGTTTGGCCAGCTTGACGGCATCATTGGTGAGTTTGGAGCGTAGCTGGGAATCGAGGTGAGCAGCAGGTGCTATCTCCACCACCTTCTGGTGCCGTCTCTGGATAGAGCAGTCTCTCTCATACAGGTGCACCACATTCCCATACTTGTCACCTGACAAGAGGCAAAGAACAGTTTGCAAGCATTGCGCTTATGCTCCCTACTCTATCAATTAATCAGTCCCATTAATCAAGTAAAAAGCCTCTTGAAAAAACTAACAAGGCACTTTTAATACATCAGGGATTTTTTTAATGTTATTTTTTTTAATATGAGTACTTCTGCAAACTGTACCTAAAAAGCACCATTCCAGGCAATCCAAAAAATTGAGGAGCCAGAGTGACTCCTCTGTGAGAAAAGATTGCAAAACCTGAGACTATTTGACTAACAAAAAAGATGAATGAGGGAGGACATGATAAAAGTGTACAAATGATGTGTGGTTCAGATACATTATGTATACTAGAACTCAAAGAGGAAATCTCATAAAGCCGACTGGTGGGCAGGTTCAGGACAGATAAAAGGAAGCACTTCTGCATGCAGCACATGCTTATATTACGGAAATTGCTTCCACAAAGATGCAGCAATGTCCAGCAGTTAGGATGGCTTTCAAAGAAGACTGGACAAATTCCTGGAGAAGACTATCAATAGCTTCTAGTCCTCTTGAGGACATGCTCTCTCCAGTATCAGCGGGAATATGGCTAGGTACAGTAGCTTCTGGGGAACTTAAGCAGGTGGGTGCTGCCACACTTGTTCAGAGACAGCTGGTTGGCCACTCTGAGAACAGAAGGCTGGACCAGGGAGAACTTGGGGCTGATTCTGCCTCAGGGCTCTTCTGACAGTCATTTTAGAAGAAATGTCTACCCTTTATCAAAATTATTCAGTTAATTTATTCAGATATTTAATCAAGTGGCAGCCCCAAGTTGCCACATTTGCATTCATTATTATTTAATGTGAGTGCTTGCTTGCTTACTCGCTCGCTCGCTCTCTCCCTCTCTCTCCCTCTCTCTCTCTCTCATTTTCCTGATTTTCCTGATTTTACTACACTTGGAAGATGTTTATACCTGGTTCAGAATCCTGGAATGGGAAAAGTGACAAAATGAAATGATTATAGTGAGTTTGGCAGTGATGTGTCAAATTGCTATTGGTTCCTGCAGCCCGAGCATCTCAACAACGCCTTTGCCACAAGCAGAATTCCATCCTGGTCTGCACAAAGAAGCAGCCCTCATTCCTGGCAGTCCAGATGAGCAAACACATACATGCACACCTCTCTTTCATTCCGTACCCAAAATCTGGACTTCTATGTGTCTTGGCTTTTCCACAAACTTCTCCACAAAGAGTGCGCCATTCCCAAATGCAGAAAGTGCCTCAGAATATGCACGGGTGTAGTTTTCCTCCAGCTCCTGCAAGAAGATAACAGCAGTGGCTACAGTAAAAGTGTGCATGGCATGGCTTCCATCTCCCAAATGCCTCCCTGATCACAGTGGAACCCTAAGAGGGAGGAAGGGGAAGCAGTCATGTGTCTTCTCCTCTCCAGGTTGCTTCCTAGAACTCTGACCATTGCACTGATCTGCCTTCCTTCCTGTTGGCCAGCCTCACTCACTGCCTGAGCCCCCCTCCTCCTGGATGTGTCCAAGCAAGGCTTCCCCTCAGCTCTTAGCTGGAGATGCATCTCAGTCCACCACTGTACTGGTAGAGAGACAGATGTCAGAAACATGGGAAGTTGCCTTAGACCAGCCTGGATGCTTGGTCTACCTAGCCCAGTATACCCTGGTGTGGCTGGCAACAGTAGGTTGCTTGGGCTTCAGTCAGAAGAGAGGGGCCTCTTCTCAGCACCTATTGCCTGCTTCTAAGCTTCTGGAGCATGTGCCTTGTCTGGAGTCCTTCTGAGCAAAGGCAACAGGTGGGATTAAATGCAGTCAAGGAACTGAAGCCCCCTCAGCCAGGCTCAGCCTCTCTGAGCCCAGGGATGCTTGCAGCCTCCCCAGTCAGGCCGTAGTTTCTCCACAATCTCCTTGAGCTTTGCCTCCCAACAGCCTTGCATTGCACCCAACAGCCTGGGTGTTGAACAGGACCAGAGAAACATATCTGACCACATTTTGCATATGCTGATCCATCTATCTATCTAGCCAACGATCCACACTCATACACAAAGTTAGAAATAAATGTTAGACATTTGACAGAATACAAAGTTAGCCAATTAATTTCTCATCCGAATCACCTCAAATAAAACCACTACAAAACAATGGATCCTCTTCAGTTGGCAAATTGGCCTGGCACAGGCAAGTAAACACAGATAAATGTTCCCAGGAGTACAAAAGGTTTCCTCCGCTTTTGCTCAGGCATCCCAGCGTGTATGGAGGGAAAAGTTAATTCTTTCTGCTATAAACTACCTAGAGAGCATCCGCAACTGGGGGTGTAGAAATAACATACAATAGCAAAACACAAACAAACATAGATTTGCTTCTATTTCTGCAATCCCCCTTGAAAATCACCTCCCACGTAGCACTTAAGCTAAGCAAGAATATTCCATTAGCATTAATGGGCACTCAAGTCCCTGCAGCAATGACCTTTCCCAGCATGGAAGCCATCCCAGGTTTCCATGAGGTGGGGGATTCCTTCCGCTCCACCGGCTCCCCCACAGCCCTCCACAAAGCACTAGTAGCACCAGGCCTTAACACACATAAACAGTCATTTCAGTTTATGCTATGCACTTTAAAGCCCTTCATTGATTCATTGCTCCTGTATCAGTCCTGTTCATTCACTCTACCAAGACATCAGAAGGAAGACATCAGAAGGAAAGGCAGTCTCCCCCACCACTGCCTAACAGCAGTCAGTCAGCATAGCCAAGGAAGGAGTTCCAGGTCCTACCTCATAGCTGCGCACGACCCTCATGCCCCGTCCTCCTCCACCGTAGGCTGCTTTGAAGATGATGGGGAACCCGTATGTGTTGGAGAACTCCTGGGCCTCACTGAGAGAGGAAATGGGGGCATCTGTCCCAGGAACCACGGGCACTCCTAGAGAGCAGACAACACTGGCACTCGGCATCCCACAACGTTTTCCCTTGGTGCACTGGCCTCCCTCACACACCATCCCTTCTCTTTCATCTTCAGGCTTGGGGACATCCCAAGGCCCAAAGATGCTGGGCTGGCAGACTGGAAACAGCCTGGCAGCTTTCTGCAGCAAGTTGCTTGGACATCTCCATTTTAACTCCTTGCTCCCACCTTTGGCTGTGCCCCTTCTATAAAGATAAACAAGCTTAGTGCATTTATAAACAATTTCCCCCATGAACCAGCCGGGAGAGCACCGTGTGCTTGCTGTGCGTGCCTGAGAGCAACAGCTGAAGGGGTGTACGGACGGCTGGGACCGAAGGCAAGTGGTCTGACTCCTCTCAGTGAACTGTGAGAGTGGAGACTCATTCTGTTTCCTGGTTCCCAGCTAAGCAGAGCAGAGGACGTTGCCCCAGTTGGTCTGGGGGTTACACAAGCAAGTAAGTTCTCAGAGAGAGTGTGACCGGCACAAGAGGACAGGACAGCTAACAAGAGCTTGGCAGCAGAGATCAAGGAAGAGTTCCCTAACCATTTTTTTAAATTGCACCTGACACTTCCATACTAATGAGACTCTTGTGAACCTTTCAGGACGACAGGACAAAGCACGGAGCGTTCCAATGCAGCAAGTAAGGTAGATTCTGGGTGTAAAGGACTCTCCAGTGGTGGAAACTTGCAAGGCCTGTGCAATGTTTTTTTCCTTGGCTGAGATCAACATGGCCTTCCTGTAGAAGCTGGTTGCCTTGTTGGAAGACAAAATGGGAGAACTAGAGCAGTGACCATCAACCCTCCACATAATAAAAGAAGATGAAAAGCTCATTGAGCAAAGAAGCATCAACAGCAAAGTACAGGAACTAGAAGAGTGGAGGGAGAGGGGGAGAATTTGGAGGCAAGGGGAGAAGAAGCAGAGGACACTCCCTGGAAAAGTGTGACAGGAGCAGAAGAACTGCAAGGAGCTTTGCCACAGAGGACCTATGGAGTCACTTCCAGGGACTGGAGGGCAGCCTGCAAAGCAAGAAGCCCAGGGCAGCCTATGTGACAGCAAGACCGAGACCAAGCCCTGCAGCAGAACATAAAGAAGAGTGGCTATTGTGGGAGACTCCCTGCTGTGTGGGATGAAAACTGGTGCACGTCACGGGGACCCACGGAATCACCAGGAATTCTGTCTTCCTGGAAGATTAGAGATGTGAATGGAGTGTTGCCAAAGCTTAGAAAACTCACTGACAAATATCCCTTCCTTATCATCCATGTGGGAACACATGAAATCTCCTAGCTGAGTTTTGAAGAAATCATGTCAGACTTTGAAGGTTTGGGGAGGAAACTCAAGAATTTTGGAGCCCAGATAGTTTTCTGATCTACCTTCCAGAATTGGAAAGAAAAATGAATACCTGGCTACAAAGGTGATATCAGCACAAGAGATTTGCATTCCGGGACCACAGGCTACACTTCCTAGAAGGCGGATTTCAAGCAAGAAAGGAGTCGCACCTCACAAGGACAGGGCAGAATGTGTTTGGTCACAGCATGAAGAAATTCATCAGGAGGCCTTTCATCTGAATTATTTGGGGAAGGAGAAGCAAATGTACGGGTAATAACAGACAAGAGCTTGTTTGTCACAACGGAGAGAGTGGCTCTAATAGCACCAGTAACAGCCTTCAAAAATGAAGGAAGTCAGCTAGACTCCAAAGCATGTGATCTTCCATGTCTATATACTAATGCCCAGAGCATGGGAAACAAACAGCATGAAATTGAACTCTTAATACAGGGGTTTGCAATCTATGTGTTAAAGATACACCTCTGCACAGCTATACAGGGAGATGTGCTTCGCAGCCCAGGAGCATCTGAATTGAAATCAATTAAGCAAAGAATAAATGGAACATGGCAGTTGGAGTCTATTCCTAGCCACCCAAGTCAAGGAGAAGACAAGGATGAAATGTTTGAAAAGTAAATTGTCATTGTTACAAGGAGACATGACGTAGTAGGAATCGGGGAGTTCAATTGCGCTGATATCTCTTGGGAGACTAATTCTGCCTAACATGAACCTTCCAAGAAATTCCTCACTGGAGTTCCTAATAAGGTGTCCCTTCCTCCTATAGAAAATGGAAGAAAGAACTAGAGGATTGGCCATCCTTGACTTGATTATAATCAATAGGATACTTAGTGCAGAAACTGGCAGTTACAGCAACTCTGGGGCAAAGTGACAGCATCATACTTAAATTCTTGACTGTATGTCATAGTGGTTAGAATATGGATCTGGGCGCTCCAGGTTCTAGTCCCCATTCAGACATATAACTTACTGGGTGACTTTGGGTCAGTCACAGATTCTCAGTCCAACAATTCTCACAGGGCTGTTGCTGAGAGGAAGGATGAGGAGAATTTCATAAGCTGTCTTGAGTTCAAGGAGCTCCAGTGACAAAGCATATCAATCCTAGTAATAGAACTTTAGCCAACAAATGAGGTGAGCAACAGGATGAGGAGAAAGTAAGAGCAATTTACTGATTCCTTTCATATACAGTGGTACCTTGGCTCATGAACTTAATCCATTCCATGACTCTGGTTGTGACCCAAGTCAAATTTCCCCATAAGATTCAATGTAAATAAGGTTAATCAGTTGTGTAACTATTTTTTAATAAGAAAAAATTGAAACAAAGTGACAAAGAACAACAAAGTAACAAAGTACTGTACAGTACAGTGGAGAACACTAACCTAGGTGGGGGGGAGGTTATTGTTTTGAGAGAGAGACCCCCTCCAGAAGGACACTGGGGAGATCTCTTTCAGGGGTTTCCTCTCTTCTTTGTCTCTTAGCTGCAGGGTCAATTTTGATGAAAATCTGTCTATAGTCACTTTTTTTTCCTGTGCTGCATAGCCGTCCGGAAATGAGAGACTATGTTATCATTCATCAGATTCAACACTCTTGTTTGTTACAGTTATGTTGGGGTGGTGCTTCTCAAAGAAAATCCTGGCACTCATTCCATTTTTTCATAATGGATTGTATCACATCACTGCTAACCTCCTCCCTGTCTTCCTCTTCCCCAGTGCGATCCTCCTCAGCAAGTGCCTTCTGCTGCTCACTCTGGAGTTCAGCAAGTTCTTCTGTCATCAGCTCCTCTGTGCCTTCCCTGCACGAATGCGACTGCGATTGTAGCCGTCTCCCCACTCGAGGGGTGGGGTGGGGAGATGGCCGTGATCGTGCTGGTTGCGGGGGGTGGGGGGAGATGGCCAAGATTACACCCATCTTTCCTGCAGGAGCGCGCCCGTGATCACGCACATCTTCCCTGCAAAAACGCAACTGTGATCGTGGCCATCTCCCCACTCGGGGTGGGGGGTGGGGGTGGGGAGATGGCAAGGATCTTGGTTGCCACTCAATGCAGAGTTTGCGACCCAAGTCAAAATTTTTATGAAATTTTTGTTCGTGACCTGATTTGGTTGTGAACCAAGGTGTTTGTAAGCGGAGGCATCACTGTATGTATTAATTACTGTACATAAACACCTGATAATCACTGAGAGATAATTAGGGGAAGCCAGAGCAAAAACAGAGTGAGATGGGAAAATTCCCAAAGGAATTCCAGAAGGAAAAGCCAACAGGAACCTCCAGCTCTTGCAGCCCACATTTAAACCAATCCATAGTAAATCAAAAACAGGCTTAGAAAGAGGGGAGGAAAGCAATGCATATCTCTGGCCCCTAGAGCCACTGTGTAGGCCTTTGCTAGTAGAAGAAGTTGCATATAAATATTAGGGAAGCTAGTCCTGGGATTGAGACCAGTGTAGGCTCACGGTTTTGGGGTTACAGAGAAACCAAAACTGAAAAATAGAGCAGTCCTGGGTTTGAGAGGCCAGCTATTGCTCAGACTCTGATCACACACTGCTTTGCAAGCCAGACTTCCCAACAGCAGCTCCTCACCAAGCACCTACCTTTGTCTGCTGTCCCTTTCACTGCTGCGATCTTCATCCCCAGAGAGGACAACTAACTAACAGTTAGTCACTGGAAGCCAGGGCAGAGCAGGATTTTAGCCGCCGCCTCACTCACTTTTCCAGTGAGGCCCTCCACTCAGTCGCTGCAGCAGTTGGGCCAGCCCACCTAGTGCTATATGGGAAGGCAGGCTTGTGAGGGGGCGAGCCCTCCGAGTGTGGGGAACGCCACTAAAAAGTAAAGCCATTGCTCTCCCCACCAGAATAAAGCAACACAACAAAATCTAAAATCACCCAGGTTTTCAGATCAACGAGCCAAATAACACCTGTCAGACCAATTGTGAGGACAGAAAGCCTGTGGAGGTGTGGGCCTATCCAGAAGTACTGCTATTTGTCAACTGGACAGAAGTCGTTTATATGTGCGCTTGGTGTAATGAGGTCCTGGCTCTCAGAGAACATATTTGTTTCTTTGGAGCCAAGACTGCTGACCTGGAGAAACAAAGAGGAGTAGGCAGGCTGGATGGTGAGACCCCTTGGAGATCCATTAGCTGGGCCCTGACCCCTGGGTGACAGCTCCTCTGCAACCATGGAAAATGGGGTCTCAGGAAAGGAGGGCATCATTCTGAGGAAGAGGGAAATTTCAGCTTAGAAAGGTCCCATTCCTTGGAAGGCGAGCCTGACGATAGACCTCTGGGAGTGGAGGGCTTCTGGTGGGGGGGATTCGAGCACTGGAAGTATAGATAGTTGGGCTTGTGGTATGTGGACCACATCATGAATCCCCTGCCTGGTCAAAGGTTACTGTTCTCATGCACTGTCTTGATAGCCTTTTAGATAGTGTGGGGGTGGATTCAGTGATCACGGTCCATGTTGGCACCAATGATGTGGGAAAATGTAGTCGTGAGTTTCTGGAAGCCAAATGTACCTTCTAGGTTGCTAGGTAGAAGGCTGAAATCCTGGACTCCCAAGATGGCTTTCTCCAAAATGCTCCCAGTTCGATGTGCAGGGCCAAACAGGCAGTCACAGCTGAAGAGTCTCGCTGCAAAGCCAAGTCAGTGGTATAGGGG